ATTTAATAGTGCAGGAACTTTGAAAAATAGCTGGAAATTTCCTTTTTAATGCGTGAACAAAACGATTTACAGTTAAAGTTATTTCATTTCACCAATTTTAGGACTTCTGTCATCAAATGGAGCTCAAATTTCTGAGACTTATTTCAGAACACAGCATATTCAAAAATGCGAGAGGGAAAAAGGATCATATGTTTATGATTTTTAATGAGGAAAAGGGTGTTTTTCTGAGGACGGGATGAAGAATCAGGACACTAGAGGGGCTCCACACGCCGAGATGGGACGCATCCGAAGCAGAAGACTCTTCTCAGGAAGTTGAAGACACGAGAACGGAGCCGCCGCTTCTTCGTTTTTCTGGATGTGGTGTCGTCCTCAGTACCTACAGACAGAGACAGAAGGAGGAGGATATCAGTTCCAAGCACTGGGAGAATCTGGACCACCTTAAACACAGAACATTATGAGACCTCAACAGAGATTGAGTCACTCACCATCAGGGCAGGCAGGAGTCTCCAAGTCTTCGTTATTCTCCACCTCAGAGTCCTCAGAGACCTCAGTCACCTGGAAATCACATCACAGTTAAATGACATTAAGTGAGGAACCCAACATGAGAGACTGAGCGTTACATTAGGAGGAAACAGAGAACCAGTTCAGTCTGTTTACCTGAACAGCAGGGATGGAGCCGGACAAATCAGGGGAACCTTCCAGGGGGAACTCGGCGCACTCCACCAGGTACGTGCCGGGTCTCTTTACGTGGCCGTACCTTCGGTAGTTCTGATAGCCGGTGAAGATCTCAGAGCACTCATCGCTCAGATCACTCAGGTCAGGAGATCCACCACATTCTCGGATCAGGTCCTCGAATGATGATAGACCCGGTTCACTGAGGACGGTGCTGCAGGACCAGGCGCTCAGATTTCCTGAAGCTGCACTCTCGCTCCTTCTTCTGGACTCGTTGGTTCTTGACTGCTGATCTGAGTCCTCCTGAACTTCAGTCAACTCCAACCCCTGTGAGGCCTCCTCAGCAGCGTCAGTGTCTGGGGAAGAACTAGAGACATGAAAACATCCCAGAGCGTAGTCAACCAACACGGTCAGGATGACATTAGCGACGTAATCGATCGTCCACTGGTCGACACAAGACGCTCCCTTCATCAGGCGCTCGTTCAAAAGGCTTTTGTATGCCTCGTTGACAATCTGAGAAACGGCTCCGTTCTCATCAGGGAAGAGCCGCCCACCGAGGACCTGGTGGGTAATTCTTATCTGGGACAGGGTCTCTAGTTCCTCCACCAGACGACCCACCAGACGCTCATAGAGAGAAATCACAGGGACCCTAAAGTTAAATGAAGACTCCAGCCGCTTGACGAGCTCCTCCGCTGTCTTCCTGATGACTGCGGGAGGCACAGTAAGGACCTTAGAGTCTTTAGGACCCCGACTCAGAGCGACTTCCTCGACCGCCGTCAATGACCTGGACCGACGATCCGCAGCAGACGACGCCTCCTCGACTCGGGCCTGGCCCTCCTCACGTTCGTGCTCCGGTGTGTCCAGAAACTCCTTAACTCCATTCAGTTCTGGAGTTTCGTTTCCCAGAAGACGAGCACTGAACAGGGCGTCAAGGGATTCGCTGGGAAGGTCGAACGTCAGTTCAGGGGTTCTGTGAAAGATCAAAGGCTGGCTTTAGTCTTCAGTGTAAACTAATGACTTCAATAATCTATTAAGCGAGTTAAACACACAGAAAACCTGAACAACACTCACTTTTCTGGCTGCACAGGAGGAGGTGGAGATGGATCATCATGAACATCCAGGCCAACTTTCTCTAACCAATCACCTGGAATCATTTGGGGGAGAGTCACACAAAGGAGGAGCCCAGTTAAAGGAGGGAGCACATTGTTATGATTAGAACCTAAAGCTACACAATGGTTTAACAGCTGATTCTGCCCTCCTGGAACTGAAATAAGGAGACAAACTATTCCCAAAATTATAAAACAGTTCCGGTCCTAAAATCTGCTGAACCACGTTTGAAGCCGTTGTAAAATCCATGATATACCACTCCTATGACCGCCTCACAGCAACTGAACTGTGTATTTCTACGCCACGGCACAAAAAACCTTGTCGTGTAAATGGAATAATCTTTGACTCTAATGCTGCTCACATGGACCACCGAGTGTACTGATGAAGTAAGAACCTGTTTTTTGTTTAAACTGAGGGGCTGAAAACTTATTTTCTTTACTAGAACCAGGCTGGTCAGCTAGCTAACAGGCTAAAACAGCCAACAGCTTAAACAACTCCATCATTAATATCACAGGCCTGAATTAAAGCACTTACAGTATGATTAACAGTAAAACTGCAGTATTAAAGTCTAAAAATGTCACTTGAATGTTTATCAGACTTCAAATGTTGGTGTTTCAGTCAGAAGTCACATCAAACCCAGGCTGAATCCCAAACGGCTCTGTACTCCCTAAATAGTGTTCTAGCTATGGAAGTTCAGAAATTCTGGCCTCTACAGTCAAACAGTGCATCATGTATCGAGTGTGGATGTGTCGGAGTCCCAGATGACCATTTCTTAGCTGTATTTTGCTCTGTTGGGCTGCAGGATCCAGTATTTAAACCCCTATGTAGTGCACTATGTAGGGAGCAGGGAGCCGTTTGAGATTCAGCCCCAGCGTGAGAAGAGAGGCGCCGCTGGATTGGTGCTAAATAAGACTTGTGGTGGTGATTTGGTACCAAAAAGTACTTATAAAACAAAAGTTTTGCATCACAAAAAAGTAAAAGAAATCATGAAATGACCGCAAAATACAGCGATGGGCGACCAAACGTTCTCCTCATTCAGCGTCCATGGGAGTTTGGCGATGATACGGTACTCTAAAGGAACTACCTTTCTCTAATATTGTAGATTATTATTAATAATCAATTATTTCCTGAAAAGTCGAGTATTTTATTATATTTTATGTCGGCCGCTGTTTTATAAAAGCAATAAAAGCCACTTGAGGCTGTGTGTTACTGCGATTTTATCAGGGGAAGGGAGTTTTAAGAACGGCCTCTCGTGGCTCATTGCTTTATTATGAGGAACCTGGGCGCCACGAAAACCTCTCAGTTTAAGATCTTACCTTTCATGGCCTGAACTGGTGGTGGACAGCTGCCTCTGATCGGTGGTAGGACACTGTAAGACTGAGCGTGTACAGCCACATTGAGAGCCTAAAAGGAATATAAGATATAAGGATATGAGAGAATTAAGCACTAATGCATTCCTAATCTGTACACATGTACATACAGTGTCAAGAAAAAGTCTGTGAACCCTTTGGAATTTTATGGTTTTATGCATTAATTTGTCATAAAATGTGATCTGATCCTCATCCAAGTCAAGTGTATTGACAAATATAATGTGCCTCAAATAATAACACAAAAAAATAAGTGAACCCTTGGAATTAATAGCTGGTTGACCCCCCTTGGCAGCAATAACCTCAACCAGGCGCTTCCTGTAGCTGCAGATCGTTCAGGAGGGATTTTAGCCCATTCTTCCTGGCAGAACTGCTTTAGCTCTGTCGTGTTCCTTGGACGCCTCATGTGTGCGGCTCTCTTCAAGTCAATCCACAGCATTTCTATAAGGCTGAGATCTGGGCTCTGACTCGGCCGCTCCAAAAGGCGGATTTTGTTTTTCATAAGCCGTTCTGTTGTGGACTCGCTCCAGTGTTTTGGGTCGTTGTCCTGTTGCACCACCCAACTTCTACAGAGTTTCAGCTGACGTACAGACACTCTCACATTATCCTGTAGAATGTTTTGATACACTTGGGGATTCATCGTCTCCTCAATGATTGTAAGCTGGCCAGGCCCTGATGCAGCACAGCAGGCCCAAATCATGATGTTCCCTCCACCACACTTTACGGATGGGATGATATTTCCATGGTGATGTGCAGTGCCTTTTTTACGCCAGATGTAGCGCTGCGTGTTCTTTCCAAATAGTTCAATCTCAGTTTTATCTGTCCACAAAACATGCACCGCTGTGGAGTGTCGGTGGATGAGGATCAGATCACATTTTATGACAAATTAATGCAGAAAACCATAAAATTCCAAAGGGTTCACAGACTTTTTCTTGCCACTGTATACAGGATATCCTCATACCTGAGAGGTCTTTTCTTGCTCTTGCCTGAGAGGTGGCAGCTGGTTGAAGCCACTGTCCTCAGCAGCTTTGAGCTCCCTGTTCTTGGTGGGACCCCGGGAGCCCTCGGCACGTCTGTCCTTTCGCTTTCCGCTCTAGAGGCAGATAAATCAGGAGATAAGCACATTTTCCACAGCGTACTCATCATTCTGATTCTGGTGGTCCGACGTCGCCCACCGAAAAGTCTGTCATCGTCTTTTCTGTGGTCGTAATTCCAGCGATCACTTTGTCCTAATTTGTTTATGTCCTCGCTCTCAGTCTAGAGCTGCTAAAGGGTTTTTCACTGTTTTTGAACAATGACGATGAAGATAACAACTTTGCTGAAAACATATTTTCAAATTAAATTCCAGAAACGTCAGTGTTTGAAACAGAAATGCAGCTTTAGATTATATCCTCTACAACGATAAACCATAAGAACAAAACCTCCCCCAGAAATATCTGGAGCTTCGCAGCATATTTTGAATCCCACAAAGTCAAGAAAATCAGTATGATGTGATTTTTAAATGATTATTCAATTATTATTGATCTTATTTATTTATTTTGTTGTGTTTTGTTTTAGGTTATTTTACTTCTGTTCATTGACTTATTTAGTGTAGCAGTGATGTGTTTTATTATTGATATATATAAATAAATAAATAAATAAATAGATAGATAGATAGATAGATTAATAGATTAATAGATTAATAATCTCTACCCAGAAGGTCGAGGTCGTGTTGGAAACTCTACTCTTACCTTTTTGTCTTTGTGCTCTGCTTCCATTTCCCCGTCTGTATCTCAGATCAGCTCAAACACGAATGAAGAAATTTCACTCAGTGTTCACTTTTATAGCCGGGACACGTCACTGTGCCGTCATCGCCTATGACGTCACAGCCAAGCGAACGGGTCACCATGGCGACGCTTGTAGTCGTAGGACTACATGACCCTTACAGGTCACTGTAGTCGTGTCGTCATTCTGTAGTCCTCGTTATGCCCATATTAGGAGCTCCGGGTCTGAGCTCCGTTTCTCTATGGCCAGAATGAACAGGGAAAGTCGCCTCTAGCGCCCCCTGTGTTCAATAAAAATGTTCAGAACCAGATTCGTTTTGTTCTGAGTACATTTTCTCCTGAAAACCACTGGATCCTCTGAATTACGAGGCCGATAAAGAGCTGTAATACTAATAGTGCTACATGCGAGCTGAAGCTGCTGCGCCTCAGTCTGATGTCACTGAGCTACACTAATCTAAGGCGGGCTGTGGCGGAGCTCTGACGAGCTGAGCTACCTTATCGAAATGTTCTACCGTAGCGCATTTTTACAGGGGTACCCGTAAATAAAACCTCTGGGGGGGATATTTTGATAAAGGCTAAAACTCCTTATCAGAAACTCTACCAGTGTTAAACTACGAGGCTGAATTTAGCTTCATTTTCGCAGCTTCTTGTTTGAATATTTCCGTTCCACCTTAAATGGTGCAGCAGCTGAGACTAGCTATCACAAACATTAGCAAACGAGACAAAATACTGACCTGTCGGTTCTGAGAAACTCAAATTATGCCTTTCAGCCCTCCATGAAGCTCAATCAGCTTCTTTTTCTCCGACTGCTTGTTCGAATCGTCCCGTTCCACCTTAAATGGCGCCTCAGACTGTAACTGCTGCACCGTTTAAGGTGGAACGGGACAATTAGAAGGAGAAACCGACTCCAGCTCTGCGACGGTTCAGTGTTCGTCAGTTCCTCGCTGCAGATTAAACGCATCAGGAACCAGCTGGAGTGATTATGAACCCAGATCAGTCCATTAATCTCCAGATTATCGATCTTCATCTTAAACCGCTCTGTTTGTCTTTTCGTCGCTACCAGCTGGGCGAGAGTCTTCTCTGCGTTGCTATGGTGACCAGCAGTCTGCGCTGATCTTCAGGGTTAAAGGGTGAATTAGCAGCTCTACATGAACTCCAGAGTTTAGGATCATTTACTGTTAAACTGTGTTGATCGATCAGCAGAGCTTTATTTTACTGTAGAGGAGGATTATTTTAGTTCACCTACAGATCTGGTTCTGCTGTGGAGCCGCTAGAGGGCAGTAAAATGTTACCGACCGCCGGTTTGGGTGAATTTCTCATCTACAAACAACCGTTTTAGCACCATAGATATCTCTGCTGAGGACTGAGGAGGAGCAGGCCGACCAAAATGAAAATAAATAACATTAAAAATACATGACTTAAGATTAGATATGAATTAGAACGGCAAAGAATAATGACGATCAATCCAAATACATAAATATACATACAAATTAATACATTAATAAATAAAACCTTACATTTACTTATGTCTATTTAGTAATTTCCCCTTCTCACTATTTTTTATATATTTATTTTTTGTTATTTATATGTTTCTTTATATAACATTTTTTCTTCTTTTTTATTTCCATAAGTATTCATTTCTATATTTATTTCTGTATTTGTTTGTCCTTATGCTAATAAAGGGACTGTCAAGCAATGATGTCACACCATCTTAATATTCCCATTGTATCCTAAATATTTATATATTTCTGATCGTCTTCCAGTAAATCACTGTGCAGTTTTGCTTCCAAATTACTTGTGTGCTCACCAACTGTCTATATGCTTGACTTTTAGATTGTGTTTGTGAAGTTTGATCATATTTAGAGTTTATATTTCCATTGAAAATTATACCACTTATCAATATATTTTTCTAAATGTGCTTCTTAATCAATTAGGAACTGAGCAATTATTCCCAGATGACTTTGTGCCTGTGATCCACTGACTCTACATACAGGATCTGTTGTAAACGTGAGCCTTTGCGCCCTCTAGTGGAAGATCAGGAGAGCAGATCAGCTCCCATTTAAAAAAGGCAGATCAAATAGGCCTCATTCTCTCACTCTAGGATCACACGCACTATAACTCTGTCTGTAATAATAAGGAATAATAACCATAGTATAAAGTATAATCCCACCACCAGATGTGTAATCTCCCTCTGAAGGCATGAGGAGCTCCGCCCTGGAGGTGACGATTAGCTCAAAATTAGGTGGAGATTTAGATGCAGACCCAACAAATCACTGTGTAGCACCCAAACCTGTAACTGTAAAGTCCAGAATCTTGAATATTTCTCTTCATTTCATGAGTTATAACTTTAGAACTGTTTCCTAATTTTTCAAAACTCAACATTTGTAGTTTATTTCCAGGTTTAAATGAAAAACATCTCAGATTTTCAAACAACTGAGAAAAAAAATAATGATTTCACTAATTTACAAAGTATAACTAAAGAAAAAAGGAGGGAACAAATCAGTAAATTGGACTGTGAGTGGAAAATGAGCGATTAAAGTGGAATTTTTTCTCATACTCTGCTTAACCACCGGTGGGCCGCCCGGAAGACTCTGACCAAAACGCCAGTGGAATGCCAGCTTTGCCATCAGCGGGCCAACAGTGGCCCACTATCCGCTTGCTATCAGGAGCTTTGAGTGACTTATGGGCAGAACTTCCAGCAATGCATAAACAAACAATACGTAAAATTCTTATAACATCCCAACATGATAGAAATGTGGGAATAAATAAAAATATATAAATAGTCTTTCTAGTTGGGATGCTGTTCAGATACATGTGTGCTGTCAGTAGAAACCTGAACCTGCATGAGAGCAGTGGGTTAGTCAGAGGATCCTATTTGTATTCTACACAAATTACTCACACTAATAAAGCCATTTTATTATAGTTCACACTGAAAGTCAGGCAGAAAGATCGTAAAGCAGTGACATATCAGTGTCTTAGGTAGATTTCTGTTTTTTTTAAACAAGCCTTTGATAATGCTCCTTGTATGTTTGCCATGGTATTGTTAGCATCAAGCTAGCAGGGCTAGCTCGGCACTGTATTGGGTTTTAATATCAGCTCTAGTTTAAATACAGACATTTTTATCTTAAACAGACATGTAAGCTACATTCTGTACTCTGCATGTCTCAGTTTTTGAGTATCTCCTCCTTTAAAGGCTTGAACTTGAAGTCTGTCCTTTATTAGTGTTAGCCTGTTAGCCAGTTAGCTTTCTGTTGACCTGCTGTAGTGAGGGCCGAACATATCCGGTCATAAAGTGAATATACGTGTAAACCAGTCAAAGTGAGTCTGTTACCAGCAAACAGTGATGTTACACTGGCAGTTTGTCGTCTGGTTGGATTTGATGGGCACAAATTTCAACGCTGGGCCTTTTCCAAGAGTCAGTATGAAGCCACATCCACAAAGCTGCTGAAACTCTGTGCTATTTATGTTTGTAGCGCTGCTGTTCTTGCTGTACTTTCTTCTTTATTACGCAAAATGCATGTTCTGCCAGAACGTCTTAGAGACATTTAATGGGTCAAATGCAAAACTTTGAAAGTTTGTAATTTTGTACAGTTTTTTTTTTTTCTTTTTTACTTTTTTTCTGCTGTAAAGTTTCGTGTTTGGTCATGATTGAGATGATATTATGCAAGTGAAATCTGAAAATATTACTTTGAAATACTTGTTATCGTGTCTTTACCTGCAGGTGTGTGAGGTTGTGAGAAAAGCGGACTATAAGTTTGACAGTCTGGTGCTGGCTGTGTCTCTTCCTGCTCAGCTGTCTGTCAGAGAAGTAAGTCACCCTTCAGTGAAAATTCCACCAAACTATACTCTGCAGCCTTTCAGTCCTCCCTCTGGACTTCCCCTGTGCTGTACAGTTATACACACACACACACACACACATGTGTATATATATATATATATATATATATATATATATATATATATATATATATATATACGCCGATCATTATGACCACCTCCTTGTTTCTACGCTCATTGTCCATTTTATCAGCTCCACTTACTATATACATACCCAGCTGTCACTGTGTCTTAAGATGTCTTGACAGTATTTATAAGATGTCTTGAGACATTTTCTTATGCCAAGACATCTCAAGAACGTCTTAAGACGTATGAGTGAAGACACTGTCTTTGTCTTGAGACATGAAAGGTAACGTCTTAAGACAAAGAAGCAATTATTTTGTGTGTCTTGAAGATGGGGCATGACTTAAGACATCACTTTGTCTTAAGACACAGAGATGTTGTGTCTTAAGACAGTTCAGTTGAGTCCAAAGAGTGGTCCATTACAAAAAGTCCTGTGGTATGAGTGTGGTATTCCTGTGGTACTGCCAAACTTACAATACAAAA